CGGTAATACGTTCTACTAAACTTTAATTAAATTAGTTTTTAATTTAAAATTAACCTAATTTTACTATACATATATATATATATATATATATATATATATTCATATATAATATATACATTATTAAATATTGTAAAAAAAAATTATATTTATATTATATTGTTATATAGGAACATCCGTCTTCAGATTCATTCTATGATAGTGACGGAGATGGAGGAAGTGATTTGACAACTGTTGAACGACCAGGCAGTGCACGAAATGTTCCCCAACAAGAAGAAGAAACGACAGAGGAGAGGCAAAGACATGATAGCGAAGAAGTTGATGGTACATAAGCATTAATATAGTATGAAAAAATCATAAATCATAGCAAAATATTTCAATTAAAATATATTTTATATATTGTGTCATTATTTATATACTTGGCAGCTTTGCTTGAACAAGAGAAACAACGAATAGAACAACTTACGGTGGGTTGGGATGATCCGACGGCTGTAGATTGGGATAATGAAGAGAAAGAAGAACAGATTGAACTTCGCGAAACATCTGAAATTCCTTCCACACAACAAATATACAAATGTACCGCGCTTTATTCATATACGGTATGAATATTTATTATGCAATGAAAATTAATGTTTTACAAAAAGTATTATAATAAAAAAAATATATTTTATTATTAGAAAAATAATTATGTATTATATGAATAATATAGAACTAAAAAATATTTGTTGTTACAGGCACAAAATCCTGATGAATTGTCAATTGTCGAAAGTGAGCAATTAGAAGTTGTTGGTGAAGGTGATGGTGATGGATGGCTTCGAGCACGAAATTATCGTGGTGAAGAAGGCTTTGTTCCTCAAAATTATCTTGATGTTGAAAGGGACACAACATCCAGTCTTACTTCTCAAGGGCCAGGTTTGGTGCAACAAATATCCTTTTCCTCGGTGGATTACACCATCGATGATCATGATGCAGTAGATCCAGATGCCAATCTACAAGTGACAGCATCGGAAACTATCGTACAAAATCATATAGGAGGTAAATTTATTTCTCACATAACTCGTATAATTTATGTAATTCTTATGTATTCAATGTTAAGTAATTAATAATTTTAATTTTTTTTAAATACGAAATTTTAAATTAATAATTTAATAAATAATAATATTTGTATATATATATTAAATTAATAGAATAATATATTTTAATATTATTGTCATATTGAAAGCTGTAATATTAATTTCTTTTTTTAGAAATAGAACAATATTGCATTGCTCTTTATGATTACGATGCTACATGTGACGAAGAACTTAGTTTTCTCGAAGGTGATATTTTAAAAGTCTTAAGAAAAGAACCGCACGATGTCGACGATGGATGGTGGGAAGGGGAATTACGTGGACAACGAGGATTATTTCCATCTTTAATCGTAGAACCTTGTGCTGCAGATGGTTCACCTTTAACTCCACAGGTTACATTTCAATTAATAATAATTTTAATGTTTTTTTTTTTAATAATATTGCTTTGCATGTTTGAATTCTATAATTCTCATTTTTAGCGCTCTTTATTTTTTTCTTATCAGGAAAATATAACACCACCGAGCTCTGCACCACCAGTATTTACACCACCCGAAGTTCCAGAATTTTTATTAGAAAATGAAATAACACAAAGTATGATGAAAGGTAATTGACTCATTTGACTCTTAAAAATAGAATTACTATGAAAAAAAATGTTATTATTATTTTTTAATATATAGAATCACAGAATGGAAAATCTATTAATGCAAGCATCGAGCAACAACATCGACAAGATGGATTCATGATAAATCTTTCAAAGGACCAAAGAAGTCAATACGGATCACAGTTTGAAGCCGATCAATCTGAAGGGCCTGGTATAATAGGTAAGCTTCAAATTATTATTGTTACTATATTTATATTTAATTTGAATATATGTATACCAAATTGCTGCTTAGTTGTAGAAGTATCGGATGAATTAGGAACAAAGGTAAATGGAATTTTTTTAAATGGGAATTTAATGAAATTTATTTAAAAATTAATAGTTTAATAATTTTAATTTTAAATTTAACTATTACGTTTCTATTTTTAGGCAGATGATGAAAAAACAAAACATTTAAATACTGACGACCAATCGAAAGAAGATTTCGGACTTGGCGTTGCGCAAATTGTAATTACTGCAGCCACACCAATGGAAGAAATTGAACATCCATTCCCAGGTTTAGAAGAAGCCATTGATGATACAGTGAAATCGACAGAAAGTTCTGATGGTGATTTACCTTCGAGCACTAATACTGATGTGAATGAAAGTGATTGCAAAGAGGCTACCGTGATAATAGATGAAAAAGAAGAACAAGAAACTACAGAAACAACCGAAGATATTGAAGAGAAATCAACAGTTGATGATTTACCAACAGACTCGGCACCATTTCCAATTAGTAGCAGTTCTGGTAGTGAAGCAGATTCAACATCTGGGCCAAGTACAGCAGATAATTCTCAATCTATACCATCTCGTGGTACCGTAATCGAGGTACAAGAAACAGAAGATATTGAAATTGTACCAGAAAAGATGGTGGTGGGAGGAAGGGCAAGTATTCCAGATGAATTACAACCTGACCAATTAGAGAAGCTACAAAATTTGAAAGAATCGAATGCCTAGGATTGACTAGACCTCGGAGATCCTGATTATCCTGCCTTATCAAATAAACTGGCTCTTCCGAAAAATCATCAAAATAAATTTCAACATTTACTGGAATTTTGGAAATCTCCAGAGGTTATTGGAAAGAAAGACTAATGAATAACGGAACAACTAAACAATTTTTATGTTAATATTATGTACACAACTTTTTTGCTAGATGATACTCTAGTGAACTATTTAAAGAAAGATGTTGCGACTTTTGCAACCTATTTACAACACATTAATGTACAGTTATAAGGTAATAAAGAAAATTGTCAATACCTATAATAGATGGAAACTTTTCGTTGTTTGTGTACATTTTAAGAGAATTATAATGGTGTTGCATGTAAAATTGTTAATTGTTTTATTCATTTTATACATTTTTGTATATTTTTATACAATTTTTGTTTACAATATCCATGTTTTTCCTCTTTATCCAATTCCATATTTACATAACAATACAAAACAATTTTATTAAGGTTGCATTCTAAGAGCACCATCTAATCTTATCACTTCTCCATTCAGGAGAGGATTTTCAACAATGTGTTGAGCTAATTGAGCATATTCATCAGGAGTACCCAATCTCTTTGGAAATGGTACTGATCTCGTTAAATAAAGACGCACTTTTTCTGGTAAATTTCCTAGCATAGGTGTATCAAATATTCCAGGCGCAATTGTAACAACACGAATACCAATATTAGCAAGATCGCGAGCTAATGGTAAAGTCATTCCAACAATTGCAGCTTTGCTGGCAGAATATGCTACTTGACCAATTTGTCCCTCAAATGCTGCAACACTTGCTGTATTAATTATTACTCCACGTAATCCATCTTTATTTGGTGTGTTATTATACATAAGTGGTAGAGATAATCTAATAATATTAAATGTTCCAGAAACATTTACATTAAGCACATTATTGAATTGATTTAAATCATGTGGTATATTTTTATTAAAATTATATACTTTGTAGGCAAGAGCTATTCCTGCAGCATTTACTATGACATCCAATTTTTTGAATTTCTTATTTATTTCATTTATAGTATTATTTACATTTTCTGTTGATGTTATCTAGAAAAAAATAAAAAGTACTATATTCATTAAAAATTTCTAAAAATATTTTCAGCAATATTTGAATGTATAATATTAAATTATGTACAGAAAAATACAATACAAAGCAGCATATACAGCAATACAAAATCACAATATTTAATTATTTATTAATTATTACTGAAGTTTTTTTATTATTATTGACAGTTTTAATAAAAAATTAAAGAAAAAATATATATTATATTAATATGATTTAAAATTTCATTAATTAATTTCTTTATTAAATTATTAAACTAATACTTTTTATTATTATTATATAGTATTTATAATATATAGTATTATATATTATATAGTAGTAGTAGCAATACTAATACTACTTAATAGTGCTAATACTACTATATTAATATGATATATAATAATATTTGTAATTTTATTTTATATTTACATCTGTTGGTGTAAAAATAGCAGATTCTCCAAATTCATTAGCAATTTCATTTCCTTTAGATATTGGTAAATCTGCAATAACTACTTTAGCACCTGCTTTTATAAATCTTTGTACAACACCAAGTCCTAATCCAGAAGCACCACCGGTTACAAGAGCAACTAATCCCTAAAATATAATATAAAATTAAATTCTTATTTAAATATATTTTTTAAATATATATTATATGATTATTATATTATTGCATTAATCCATATAAAAAACTAATAATTTCAAAAATAATTATTTTTATTAAATTAAAGTTTCATTAAGCAATATCTAAAATATCATAATATTTTTACTTATATAATTTTTATATTTTTTCAAGACAATCTTCATTATAATAAATTTATAATATCATAATATATTATAATATCTTCATATAATAAATTTAATAAAATTATATGAACAATAAAAAACTATGATATATTCAGGAGATAATAACTTAGATTACTTTGAATATCTTTATTATCTTTAGAAATATCTGGATAACAAATATATATAATAAATAAAGAAATTTCAATAGTTTATTGAAAATTGTATAATACAAAGGGCGTCATAATATTACAATTTTTTTATAAATGAAGATTTTCAGAGATTTCAAAATCAACCTTCATTTTTTAAATGGGATTATTATACTTTTTTATTCCTAATAAAACAGCGAAAATTATAAAATTTCATAAAATACAAATTAATACAAAATAATCCAATAATGGATAACAAATAAATAAATTAAAATAAATTAAAATACGTTCAAAATTAATGTTCGTTTGTATCGATGGATATTAGAATCATCGGATTCTAGTTCATTAATTATTACTTTAGGATTGTTTATAGAATATCATTTTATTAAGAATAGAAAAAAAAAATGTGCCACTTAAAAAAATAAAGATATTTTAAAATATAATCTTGAAATTTTCAATACATAAAAAAATTATTAATATCATACTCATATATTATACAATTTTCATTAACAAATATTTCTAAAAATACGAATATTCGAGATAATTAAAGTCCCATATTAACTATATATATTATTTAAATTTATACAAATATCAAATTTAACAAAGTTTTCAATTATTATTAGAAGTAAAAATACGTTATTAGTTGAACGTTATTTTCAGCGAAATATATTTCAAAAATAATTATATTAATACAAAATAATAAATATATATAAATAAAACAATCAAAAAACATATATAAAATAATCATACATAATATGCGTATGATAAAAAATAGAAAATTATTATATATTTTATACTCAATAAAAAACTTTTTATTCATAATAATAATATTAATATATTTAAAAGAAATTAGTACTTACTTTCATTATTTTATATTTTATAAAAAAAATTTTATATTTTATAAAAAAAAATATAAAAAATGTTTTATAAAATAGACGAGAAAATCACGGAATGAAAAACACTTTTAATATCAAATACTTCCTCTTACGACTAATGGAATGGAATAGATCAAACAATGAACAACAGAAACAGATTACCGGTATGCGAGATAAAATGGCCGACAAACTCAAATGATGACGTTATCAGTTTTCAGCCATCTTGCTGATAATTCTATAAAAAAACAATTAGAATTTACGAAATAATGTAAGATAAAAAGGGTTACTTTATCAATATGTAAACTAAATGCTTATAAAGTATCATTATTTTTCTTAGATTTTCATCAAAAAATAATTAATAATATAAAGAATAAAATAACTTTTTTTATATAGGCATTATTCAATTTATTTTATTAAATAGTTAAAGTATTAATTCAATAATTTTAAGTTATACATAATTTTGTTTTTATCTATTATTAAAATAGATATTTAAAACAAATATCAAAGTTACTTGTTAATAAAAATGAATTTATCATTTTCAAACGATAAAAAAATATTAATTTAAGTTAAGATCATATGAACATTAAAATATTAGATATTACATTGTTTTACAAATTAAGCAATAGTTAGTGATTTAAAAAAAAATTATCATAATATAATTTACTGAACGTTGGAATTTGACCTTAAACAGAATAAAATAAGAAGAGTTTCTCATTCAATTCATTATCGCTAACTTTAACAGTTTCGACAATATTTAAAATCTCATTTATATTTTTCTTTGAAATCTTTCTATTTTATACAATTTTAATAGATCTTATTCTCTTTTTTTCACGCATCAGATTAATAAATACAATTTATATCATCAATATTTTATAATTTATCAATTTTTTAGTATAAATATAATTTATTAAAAATATTTATTATAATCCAAAAATTAAAAAACAGAAAATATAAATAGTACTTTTTTTTCTTTTTTTTCATTATGAAGTTTAAAATTTATATGTAATATAAATGTATATATGAATATTGTACATTAACGAATTATACATGAATGAAATTTTGTTATTTTTTATTATTATAAAAATATATATATAAGAAATTATAAAAAGAGAGATTATAACATAATACAACATTAATAATAATAAAAATAATTTATTTTTTTATTTTATTTTATTTTATCATCTAAAAAATATTTTATTTTATTTTAAAAATTATTTAAATATTATTTTTTAATAAAAAATTTTACAAAAATAATAAATATTTAATATCATATCATTGAAAAATTAAAAACTATTTTAAGAAAAACTAACCTTAATAAAAAAAATCAAATCGTAAACAACATAAAAAAATTTGAATATTAAATAAAAATTAATAGTTTATATAACATATGTTATTTTATTATAAGTATGAATGAATAATAATCATAATTGTTAATGTTTAGTTATGATAAATACTTAATATATATATATATATTAATAATATATAAATATAACATATATAATATACATTCATAATGAAAGTTATTGCACGTTGTAATACATTATTGTGTTCTAATTTATATTATAAATATTATTGCAATAAATTTTCTACTCAGTTATCAGGTATTTACATACATATACATATATATATTTTATATAATATTATAATTAAAAATTTATTTTCATACAATTTTTTTATAGATTTTCCAAAAACTTTTAATTGTAAAAAAATAGAACATGAATGGTATTACATTTGGGAAAAAAATGATTATTTTACTCTTAAAAATAATAAGAAAGTAGCATTGAAAATGCTTTTACCTCCTCCTAATATAACAGGAACATTGCATTTGGGACATGCATTAACTGTTACAATTCAAGATATATTAGCAAGATGGTATTTTTTTAAAATATGATTTATTCTTTATACATTGAAATAAATAACATTTTAATATAAATTACATTTACATTTTATATATAATTATACTTAGGTATAGGATGAAAGGACATCCTGTAATATGGATACCAGGTTTTGATCATGCTGGAATTGCTACACAAATGATGGTAGAAAAATATCTTTTTAAAACTAAAGGTATTAATAAATCAGATATAGGAAAAGATAAATTTCTTTCATATATTTGGCAATGGAAAAATGAAAAGGAAAATATTATAAAATCTCAATTAAAAGCTTTAGGTGCTAGTTTGGATTGGTCTCGAGAATATTTTACAATGAGTAAGGTATAAAATGTGATTTCTTCTATAAAAATATTTGAAGTTTTGAACAAGCAGAGTATTTTTTATATTTGAAATTTTAGAATCATAATAATGCTGTGATAGAAGCAATTGTTACATTAAATAATCGAAACTTACTATATAGGAAAAAAGATTTGATTAATTGGTCTTCTACTTTACGTAGTACAATATCAGATATTGAAGTTGAACATTTATATGTTACTGAAAAAACACAGCTTCAAGTTCCAGGATATGAAAAAAGGATTACATTTGGTGAAATAGCATATATAGCTTATCCTGTGAAAGATTCAAGTAAAATTTATTTTCTCTTCCTTCCAAACTATATATATATATATATATATATATGATTAATTTTTATTGGTTTTCTTCAACATGAATATAATTCTTTTTTCTTAGAACATGAGATAATAGTGGCAACTACTAGACCAGAAACTGTTTTTGGAGATGTAGCAATTGCTGTTCATCCAGATGATGAAAGATATGCAAAGTATATTGGTCAACAAGTCTGGCATACTTTAAGACAAACATATATACCTATTATTTCTGATTATTTAGTTGATAAACAATTTGGAACAGGTAAACATATTTCAGATTTTGTTATTTTAAATAATATTTTATGATAAGTATATTATAATTAAAAAGAATTTTTCAGGTGCAATAAAAGTAACACCTGCACATGATTCTTTAGATTATATGATTGCAATGAATCATCAATTAGAAATTATTGAAGTTATTGATGAATATGGAAATATAACAAAAGCAGGCAAACAATTTGAAGTATACTTATATTTTAATTAAATAATTATATTTTTTATGAATTTTTGTTTGATATTATAAGTTTTATTTAAGTAACATTTCATTTGTTAAAAATAAATAAAAAAATTTCAGGGTTTGCCGAGATTTATTGTTCGAGAAAAAGTTTTAAATGAACTATCAAATAAAGGTATTTTAAAAAGTACTAGTGACCATAAAATGTGTATACCATTGTGTTCGCGAACTCACGATGTTGTAGAATATCTACTCAAAGAACAATGGTTTATTAAATGTAAAGATATGGCTCAAAAAGCTGTAGAAGCAGTAAAACAAGGTCATTTAAAAATAATACCTAATACTCAAGAAATATTGTGGTATGATTATCTTAATGATATCAAGGTAAAAAAAAATAAACAATGTTTAAAAAAATGAATAATGTAATTTACTTCTTAATAATAATATTTTTTTAGAGATTGGTGTATTTCAAGACAAATATGGTGGGGACATTCTATTCCCGCATATTATATTACAATAGAAGATAAAATTGAATGGATAATTGCTCGCACTGAAGATGATGCAAAAATTATTGCACAAAATAAATATGGATCAGATATTAAATTATATAAAGATCAAGATGTATTAGATACATGGTTTTCTTCTGCAATACTTCCTTTTGCTATAATGGGGTGGCCAGAAAAGGTATAAATATAAATAATGTGTAAAAAATTATTGTTATATTAAGATATCTTTTTAGACTGAAGATTTAAAAAAATACTATCCTTTAACATTAATGGAAACAGGAAGAGATATTCTTTTTTTTTGGGTTGCAAGAATGGTAATGCTAGGATTGGAATTAACTAATTGTCTACCTTTTAATGTAAGATTTTTTATATTTTAAGATTATTTTACATTTAAATCATTTTTAATTTTTTTTCTAAAAATTAAATTCAGGAAGTTTTATTGCATGGTCTTTTATGTGATGCTTATGGAAAGAAAATGTCTAAAACACTTGGAAATATTGTTTCTCCAGAAAATATCATCAATGGTATTAGCTTAAATGTAAGTATAATATGTTTCATACATTAAGATATATTTTATTTATATCAAATATTGTAAAATAAATAGGATCTTACTGCACAATTGAAAAAAAGTTACAATATAGGTATTCTTAATGAAGTTACATTGAAACGGATGTTAAATGCAAATAATAAACTATTTCCTAATGGTATACCAGAATGTGGTGCAGATGCATTGCGTATGACATTATCTAGTCACAATATTAAAAGTTAGTATAAATTAATCTATAATATTTTCATCATTTGACATTTTAAATATTTATAAATATTTTTATTTGATAGATCAACACATCAATTTTAATATTATGGAATGTCAAACAAACAAATATTTTTTAAATAAAATTTGGCAAGCAAGCAAATACATATTACTTATGACATATGAAAAAACATATCAGAAACCTATAAATATAACAATTATTGATCAATGGATTTTAAGCAGATTATCTCTAATGATCAATACAATTAATAATGCACTTCTAGAACGAGATTTCCATAAAGCTATTATGTCAATGAAACAATTTTTATATTACGAATTTTGTGATTTTTATTTGGTAAGATTATGATTAGCAATTTAAGCTATTTATTGAGAAAAGATTATTTTAAATATAAATTCTTTAAATATAGATATATGTATATATATATTCATATCTATTTATTTATATTTTATTTTATTTATTCATTCATTATATATATTATTAATTTTTTTAAATATGAAATTGAGTTAATCAGTTATTCTTTTATATGAACTCATAAGATTTGATTAACAAAAAATGTGCTATACTTAAAAAATAATTCAAGATTTAATAGATTATATATTTGTATATAGGAAGGAAGTAAATGGGGATTTAAAAGTGAAAATATAAATACACAAGTAAGTCACACATATGTTTTAAGAAAGTGTTTAGAAGTATTTTTACGTGCATCTGCGCCTATAATACCATATCTGTGCGATGATTTGTATAAAAGACTATCAAATATATTTCCGGAATTTTTATCAGTTTCGTCATTAATGGAAGCACATTATCCAATACCAGAAGAAGTGAGATTATATGTTAATTATAAAATGCTTCAAAACAAAGAAAAATTTAAATTTATATTTATATTTATTACAGTTTAATGAATGGAG